TGGCCTGAAGGATTTGGAGCACCCACTAACTGGTCATTTTATTCATGACCTGAACAATTTAGGGAGTGAGAAAAAAATGTGAWGCTGGGGGAAGTAAAGAACAGTGTAAACGGTGTATTTCTCTGTTACACTGAAACTGGGGATTCTGTGCACATCCAGAGACTGACACCACCTTGGTSTTTTGGGATTACAGCAGGAGATGCCTGTGTAGTGAAAGCAGCTCTATAAACAGTGAGGCAAGGCTTTGGATGCAGTTAGATGGTCTGAGATAGTCCATGCCCTGAACCCTTGGCAGCACGCAGAGGGCACAGCAGATGCTGTAGCCCATAACCCATCCGGCCGTGTAAGATGTTTTCCAGTGCCATTCTTCACAAGTGAGGACAGATTTCTCCTTGTMGAGACCATACAAACGGGCCCTCTGTGGTGATTGAGGACTTGCTGGTAGATCCAACTAGAAGTGTCTGTAAGTGACACTATTTTGCCATTGCGGACTGGGGACGGGTCTCTCWGACCTGGGACTGACATAATTGCCGGGATAAAGGAGCAATGGCTTTGCTAGTGCTGTATGCGCCACCCAGTGGGAATTTCGCTCCTTTTCCTTTGGTGAYACACCGTAGGATTTATTTTGTTTACTGCTGAGAATGGGCGGCGTGTCACAGGGTTAAGGTAAGAAAAGCTGAGCTGGAAATTACAAGCCAGAAATGGAATTGAGGAAAAAATAAGCAGATACCATGTCAATTTTCGTATTTTCTCTATACCTGCAACTATCTATGCATATTCTTTCTTGCAACAATCTCTTCAGAAAAGCCAGCTTTCTCAGCTTGTACTGAAGAGCCTCCAGATGATGTAGAATTAGCTGATCGTCAGTAATACTGTCAATCCTGGCAGCACAGAGGATGCTAGGGCACAAGRAAGGGTTTGGAGGGATGCATTTGGAACTATTCTGTTGTCTCCTGCTGCTAACCCAGTCAGCCAGCCATGCCTTATTCATTCYGGATCAGTTTGTAGTCTGCTGAAASTCAGWGYAKTCTTGTGGACTAAMAGATRACACAGAGGTAGCCCCCTTTAACAGACCCCTCTTCTTGCAGGAGCTGGGCCCTGCCAAAGGATCCTGGAACACAGCTGTAGGTGCAGTATTATGTAATGAATACTGCTCAGTAAAGGTGGCTAGTGGGTTATTGCTGAGTACCACTTTGGACTCAAAATCCAGGCTCAAAAAGTGCCAGTAGGTTCCTACTGAGTCTTTTGTGGTTTTGTAAACTTTGCTTGGTTTGTAACTCTAAAAAAAACATATGCTGGAGTACCAGATTTCCAATGCTTCAGTAAAGCTGTTATACAGAGTCATTAGTTTCAGCTACTTGAAATTTTAGCATCTCAATCTCAGATTCTACTTGTGTGGTGTGGTGTGGTAGGGTTTTGTTTTTTTTTTTAAATAATTTTTTGTTGTTGTTTTTTGAGTTTGTTTGTTTGTTTGTTTTTTACTGTTTTGTTTTGTTGATGTTTTTTCTTTTGTTTTTTGTTTTGTTCTGATTCCTTCCTCTCTTTTTGAGGATTTTTAGCCAAGTAACACAGAATTTATTGGCTGTAATAGAAGGCTCAGAATACAATGTCATAGTAAAGCCTACATGGCTTGAAGTGCCATTTTGTCTCTTCTCTCTCTCCTTTAGTAAAAGGTAACCTTATTCCAGCCTTTCCCTCCTACTTAAGAGTATTGCTCTCTGTTATCTGAAGGCATATTTGTAAAATAGCYTGTCATGCTGAATGGTGTTTTGATACATTTGTATAATGAGAGATTTCATATCAAAGCATAAATGTGAGGAGGTTGAAGAGGTGTTGCCTTGGCAACCCCTGAATCTTGTGGCCTTTGTGGTATAAATAAAAAACTAATCAAGGACCCGATTCAGCAGTATTTAGGTAGTCAAAATACCTATTGATTATGGTACAAGGTTTGAATGGGAAGGAAAAACAAGACCTTCAGCTGGTTAGATTAATAAGTTTGTCCTCTGCATTTTGGAAGAACAAGAGAAAAACTCTATAGGTTATAACCACAGTATTGAATGCAGTGAGCCCAGATTTACGTATAWGAAAGGTCCCAAATATGTCACTGCAAATGTATTTCCACTTGGGATTTGTGTCCAAAATGTTATTTGATKTGCTGGCATCCCTGTGTACTACACTTTGAGTTTTTCTTACACTTGAAAAAGAAAACAAGTAAATAATGCTTTAATGTGTGTGTTTGAAGAGTAATGACAGAGACATGCTTCTGTGAACTTTCCTTACATGAGTAATTTCTGTGGCAGCAAGTAGCCTGCTGCCTCTAGCATCTAGCTCAGTTTGACACAATTTTCAGTGGAGGGCCACAGCAAATGACAGGAAAGCAAATGGTGAGATTTACACAGAAATATCTGGGAATTAGATTGGCTAAATCATTGGCTTCCATGAGGAGGAGACTCACTCAGTGATGAGGGAAAAGCTGTGGATGCTGTCTATCTAGAGTTCAGTAGTGCCACCCCTTAATCTCTTTGCTTTCTC